CAAACCAAACAAAACCAATCCTCTTCTTCCACTTCCGTCACCTCCGAAGCATCTCTTCGTTCCACAGCTCCTAATCAACCTCACCACCTCCCCAATTCCTCCTCCCCTCCCTCTCTTCCCCCCTCAGGCCCATCGCCCCTCCATCAAAATGGCCTCTCCACCCCCCTCCCCCCTCACAACCAACAGCGCCGCCTCCGCGCCGCCCGACACCTCAAACAAACCCGCCGCACCCCCGGTGAACATCCTCCCGACCCAACTCGCAACCACCTACTCCTACATCCACCCAGCAGCGCTTCTCTCCGCCTTCGCCGCGCGATTCCCCGCGCTGGTCAACGACCCTGTCTCCGAAATGGCCCAGCAATTGCCCTTCCTCGCCCTCGCGCACGTCGCCTACGTGATGATCTGTCTTCCCGCCGCTGGCTCCTCCGACTCTGCCACCACCGCAGCAGCAGCTACACCAACATCCCCATCCACCCCTACTATCCCGAGCGCATCGTCCACAGGAACTACCACTGGATCAACAACGACCGGAAACGTGATCCTCCGTCCCGGCCGCGTCGGCCGCCGTCGCACAAAGGACTCGTCTTCGTCTTCTTCCTCGACTGCTTCGGCTATTCGTGGACGGGTTGTTGTACGTCCATCCCCACCCCATTCCTTACCCCCCTTGCCCCCTAATAACCACCATACTAACCGACCATGGGAATATGGAATAAACAGGCTTCACTCCTCTCCCTAACACTGACCACCCTCCTCGCCACCCCCGTCCTCAGCATCCTCCTCATTCTCTTCGGCGCGCCGTTCACGACTCACCACGCCCAGACGGTGCTTTGCGCAGCGCATATGGCTATTCTCTCGTCCTTGGCGCTGGTGTATGTTCATGGTGTCGATGGGAATGTGTGGAAGGAGGTGTGGGGGGCCAAAAGGCCGGGGGATGTTGTTTGGGGTGGGGCGTTGGGGACGTGTGTGGGTGCGTGGCTTGGGGCTGTGCCGGTGCCGCTGGATTGGTATGTTTTTCTTTCTTTTTCTTGTTCTTGGATTTGAGGGGTGGGTTTGGGGATGTGTATGGGATAGGGTTGGCTAATGGTCTGTGTGTTGTGTAGGGATCGGCCGTGGCAGGCGTATCCGATTACGTTGTTGGCTGGGGCGTATGTCGGTTTTGTGCTGGGTTCGGTGCTGGGGAGGTCGGTGTTGTTTGGGAAGAGGGTGAGGTTTGAGGAGGGGGAGGATGTTAAGAAGGTTGATTAGGGAGGTTTTTTATCATATTGCATGGTTTGGGTTGTGGAGGTAGATATCCTGGTTGTTGTTGCTTCGTGTATAGCTGTTTTAGTATATCTTAATTGATTTAATTGTTAATTGTTAATGTTCTTTTTACTGGGTGATTGTATATTTATGACTTTTTTTCTTCGATTGATCTATAAGTCTATTGCTGCAGCCCGGCAGCCTGTCCGTAGATGAAAGCAATTGCTATGTACAGTATCACTCATGCACGCAATCTCATGCAGGATATCATAACCACAAACAGAACATTTTCAAAAAGAAATAACCAATGAGGGTATGAAGCAGATATGGTCATTAGAGAGGAGAAGATGCAGGAGAAGGGGAATAGAAGAAAGAAGGAGTGTTGGCATCATATCATCCCGCCAACTTCGACGCGTCGCGCCGACGGCCACCGCGGATGGTACAAGTCTCCCTTCGGAGGGAGCTCTGGGCGCTCCTCGGAATCACTGTCCGGGCAGATCTTTTCCGTCGGCGGTCCCGAGTTGGTCGGAGACGGCCCCAGGGCCTGCCGCATGCGCATAATATCATGCGCGTCAATTGGGATGGGATAGATCGGACCCATGCCCATGGATTCGCGTGCCACGCGCGTGAGTTGCTCGACATCGCTCCGCAGACTGGACACCTGTTCCTCGAGATTGCGTCGCGCAGACTGCTCCCGGCGCAGCAGCATCACCAGTGCGCTGTACTGTTCAACGGAGATGGTGTTGCATTCGTGCAGCGACGCGGAGGACGGGGCCTGCAAGGTGCGCGAGCGGTGGAGATGGTTCGGGCGCAGTGTGCTCGTGCTAGACGGGCGATCGGCGCCGCCGGGCGACTTGGCGCCCGGGGTCTCGTCACTACCCGACGGCGACTGGGCCGATGACTGCTTGCGCTTGTGCCGTGTCGGGGGTGACGGTTTCCTCTGTCCCGACGGCTCGGCCGGCGTTTCACTGCGTCCAGACTGTATGCGTGCGATCGCACATTCCAAGTCGATCAATTTTACCTCCAAGGTGGTCAGTCGCTGTTCCAGCGTCACGTTTTCATCGTGTTGTAAAGAGTTGACTAGCGTTCCCACCGTTTGGGGCATCGGCTCCTCCGGTGCGTCTTCCTCGTCGTCCTCATCCGGGCCATCCAGGAAGGACGGCTCCGTCGTGGGTTTGGGGGCACTGGCGACCGTGGTCCGGGTCGGGGGTCGTTCCGATGCATCGGCCTCGGACACCGCGCCAAAGGTCGTCGATCCGGCGCACGACTCCAGACTGCGGCGTCGCCATTGAATGGGAGACATCAGGTGATCTTTGGCCATACCGCGCAGGGCGGTCGCGCTGCGGGAGCGACGCTTGATCTGGCGCATCTCTCGGCGGCGGACCTCATCCGGATCACTGTTGGCGTGCGGACTGTTGTCCCGTCTACTGGTCGGTCGGCCCGAATGCACGACCGCCTCCAGGGCACCGCGAGATTCGTCGTCCGAAAAGATCAAGCTCGGCAGAGTGGCCCGTCGGCGGCGGGGGTGCGGTTCGAGCTTGCGCAGGGCCTCTTCCCACGAGGTGACGGGCCCGTGTTCCTGCTGCAACGGACTGGTGGATTTGGCGTTCCACGAACCGGAGAGCGGCTGCGGCTTGTCGAGCGATTGATTCGATCGCGGACTGTGGTTGCCGAACCGACACTCAGCGGAATCGTCGTCCTCCTGCCCGCGACTTTTGCGAGTGAAGATCTTCCGCATGACGGTCTTGAGGGTGCTGCCGGTACGACGATGTGTGCTGGGCCCGCGAGCAATGGTGGTCGTTCCGGGATTGTATGGCAGGGTAGTGACGGCGCGATTGGTGTTGCGGAGGTTAGTAGCGATCAGGGAGGATTCGGAAGCACGAGGTGGACGACGCGTGGAGACGACCATCTGTTTGGAACTCATGGGCGGTAATGCAGTATCAAAGCAAGCGTCTGCAGCTGCAGGGTCCGAAGTGGAAGAGTCGGCTATGCGACTGTGGGCGGAGTCACTTCGCGTGGTACTTGTACTGGCACCAGACATGTCGGAACTCGGGCTTTAGAGGGATAGACAACACATGAAACATGCACGCTGCAGACGGGTCCAATGGCATACAAGAGCGCAAGGGGGGGAAGACAGTCGAAGCGATCGGTAAGGACAGATACGAAGACAGGGACAAGGAACGATTGGATATACGCCAAGGCGCAGAGCCACCAGCTGAAAAGCGGAGGGGGGAATCTAAGGAGTGAGGCTGCGGGCACCAGCATCAGCAGGGAATCCACTTTGGAAGGATGGATGTCAGAGGGGGGAATCTGACCTTGGCAAAAGGGCTCAAATCATGATCGATAGGTTGGAAAGAAGAAAATAGAATAGAGTGTCGGAAGGAATGAAGCCAAGGAGTCAGCAGGAGGGGGAGGGAGAGGGAGAAAGGAAGTAGAAAGTGGGAAGACGAAGGTGGTAAGATAAAAATAAATAAAATAGAGTAATAATAGCAGGGAAAGTAAATAAGAGTAAATGGACGAAGTGACACTACAGAGTCATGAAATGGGGGGGGGAGGGAAACCCAAGAGTTTGGGGGCAACTGGAGACGAAGATTCACTAGTCCCCGACACGAGCAACAGGGAAGAGAGTCTCAGAAGTTCAGAAGAAGCGGGCGGGATCGGCGAAGATGGAGCAGAATACGGGAAATTGTCGAGCTTATCAAACACCAACAGGGAGGATCCAGGAAGAATATCCCGGGGATTGGCGATGGAGAAGAAGCAGAGAAGGAGAAGAGAGAGAGAGAGAAGAGAGAGAGAGAGAGAGAGAGAGAGAGAGAAGGGAGGGGAATAACCAGAAGGAATGGAATATTTGCCCTGATAATAATATTATCGGGGAAGAATCACCAAAGAAGTATAGAGTTGGACCCCAACCAGTAAGTAATCAATCAATCAAAATTGGCATTAAGAGACGAAGGAATGGAAGGAAGCTGCAAGAGAAGAGGAAGAGAAGACCGGGGGAAAAGCAGACAGCAGACAGACAGACAGCAGCAGAGAGCAGCAGCAGCAGGCAGAGACGAAGGAAAGTGAACTAAAAGAGAGAAGCGCATCCCCAAAAGTGGAGCTGAGCTGCTGGTGGATGGAGAAGAAGAAGAAGAAGCGGAGTGGAATTTCGAAACACTCGCGGCGCGTGTCAGGGGGTGTATTTTTAGTTCCAAAATATTTATTTCATCACCACTAACTAACTAGTCCACTTTATAATAATAAGAATGATTCATTGCTGAGGAAGATTCCATTGTTTGAGTTAGTTTATTCTTTTTTTACTAATTTATTATTTTACTATTTACTTGATGGATATTCCCAAGGTATATTTTTCATCACTTTTTAAAGAAAGGGTAAAATTCCATCCTACTATTACTACTTACTACTGCATACAGCATATGCAAGAGTTAATTTAATTTCAACCTGTGCCGCGCCAACTCATCACTCCCATCCATGCACATTCAGACAACTGAATGTTCCTCCCTCACTCCTTTGGCCCCATTCCCAACTCTTCCCTCCTCCACTTACTCATTCACTCACTCACTCACTGCTTCAACTCCTCTTTTCTTTTTCTCTCATCATTGGACCACGATGGCAATCCTCCACGCTGAAACACGCCAAGTGGCCTCCCTCCCCCCCCTCTAACCCCCTCCACTCCCGTCCACAACCGATTAAGTTGGCCCATCAGACGCTCGGAACCGTTCGCTTTTCACTGACGGGCCCTCCTTCCCTCCTTCTCCGTCTCCCTCGGTCGCGGTCGGACACAATCCTCATTCATTCAATTAGCGAATCACTAGTAGTATCTTTCTAAGTATCTACTATCTATGCGGTGGATAGAAGCAAGGCTGACTGTCCCGCTCGTGGGATTCTAGATCCTGCACATTTTCACAACGCCATGACGCATGATCTCCTCCTTCCCCTCTTCTTTGGCGTCTCCAAGGGAGGGGTTCCCGGAATTCCATCGAGCAGCCACATGGGACAATCTAGATTTCTATCTAACCTATGGAATGTGGATGGTTGACGTGACAGGGGAATGCGCCCATGCCTTTACCATTTACTCTCTGGGCAAGTCTTTCATCGCGTGTCTGAATTGCCTCCAATGCTATCCCTTGCGCGTATGTTTGGTTGAGTCTGTTGTTCTCCTGCAAGGGACCGTTCGGTGCAGACGTTGCACGACACTGCATCTGATTGCAGGACCTCCCATCGGTGACACTCATGGCCCAAGCAACGTCCGAGGGTACTTCGTAGCTAGTCTATCTAGGTATGATCACAACAGATCGCCAGCGTCCGGATACCGCAAATCAGCATGCTCCTCCAGGAATCCCATCCATCGCTTCAGGAACCCACTGCCCCTGTGGAGAACAGTCAACGTCAACGATTTGCCTACAAAGTAAATGCTGACTACGAGAGGGGCACTCACTTGCTAATCGTCTCCGAGTCACCGCAGATGCACAGATGCCGTTTCGGCCGCGTCATGGCCACTAATGCTGTCAGTCCATGCACCCTCGCCACTTGGCAGGGATCTTACCGTTGAGACGACGCCGTTCCCCTAAGAATCCCACTTCGTGCTCGCTGTTGCTGCGCACCAGACTCACCACCACCGCTTCCTTTTCACGCCCTTGGAACCCGTCGACACTGCCCAGCTCAATGCTGGGGTATTTCTCTCGCAGCATCTGCGACAGCACGGCCAGCTGACCGTTGTATGGTGTAATCACCGCAATATCTTCGGGGTGTATCCCTGCGTCCACCAGCGCATCGACGTGCCGGCTCACCACTAGAGCCTCCATGTCGTTGCTCTTACTGTCGCCCAGGTGGGCTTTCTTGCCCAGATCCGCATCCTCGGTCTTTTCAGGGAAATCACCACCTTGCGTATCCCAGAACACCAGCGGCTCTTTGGTGTCATCCGTCTCCTCCACTTCGTAGGGTAGGTCCTTGAGTAGTCGAGCTTTGACAGAGTCTGCAGCCATCAATTTAGAGTCATACAACTCGTCCGACGGAAATTGCATTATCTTCTCGTGCATCCGGTATTGCGTCGTGAGCATCCGTTTGATTCCAGGCCCATGCATCGACAGCAGTCGGTCGAAGAGAGTCGTCTCCAGCGAGACATTGTCCAGCAACTCCCCGTTTTCTTTCTTGTCCTCTTTGGCCTTCATCTTTTTAACATCATCTTTGGTCGACTTGACGGTCGGCGGCAGCTGCAAGTGATCACCAGCCAGGACCACCTTGGATGCCGACAGCAACGGGATCCAGCACTGCGCCTCCAGTGCCTGACTCGCCTCATCGATGATGACCACATCGAACTTTTGGTTCTTCAGCTGATGGCCACCTGCTCCATGCAGCGTTGCCAGCACCACGCTGCTCTCGCGGACCAGGTTCTCCACACATTTGTTCTCGCGCTCGCGGAACTCGCGCCGCAGTTCTCGCAGATCATCGTAGATGGTTCGTCGCTCCCGCGCTGACCTGGTCTTTCGAATACTTGCCTGCTTCTGGTCGATCTCTTTGCGGACGTCGCGAACAATCTCCGCCGCCTCCGACGTATGCGTCAGCACTTCCAATGAATGATCCAGAACAGACGGCAGCAACCGCGCCGGATGTCCGATGCGCACCACGGGGACCTTCTTCGGCGCCAGTCTCTCCACGATATTGTCGACGGAGATGTTCGACGGACCGCAGACCAGCACCCGCTGCTTGCGCTGCACCATCTGCACGATCAACTCGATCAGCGTGTGCGTCTTGCCGGTCCCGGGCGGGCCATGGATGAGGGCAATCTCGCGCGCCGCCAGAGCAAACCGAATAGCCTCCTTCTGGGAGTCGTTCAACGTAGGATCCGTAAATTCCAGAGGCCCGATAGAATCGTAGTCTGGCAACATAGGGGAGGTCTGACCAAAGGCCACGCGCATGAAATGGGTGTGTTCGGAGTCGGTCATTTTGACCATTTTCTCCATGGTCTGGTTCATCCTATATTATCATTAAGTATAGCTTGTAGAATCAATGAATGGAGACATACCGTCTATACGTAACATCATTGGCAAGTTTGATCCTATCCCTATTAGCAACTCACTTCACCACTGTGGTACCAGCATATCCAAAGAAACAAGATAGTACTTAGAAAGAGGACGAACTCACATCCAAACCTTCCTCCCCCACAGCTCCTCCACCCCATCCTCATCCTTACTCCCTCCCCCTTTCCCACCATCTTTCCCCCCAAACGCAACCCAAACCGCACTCTCCCCAACCCTCGTCACAACCCCTTCCACCCCTCCTCCTTTACCCTCTTTCCCCTCTTTCCCCTTCTTCCCACCACCACCACCACCCCCAGAACCAGAACTAGAACTATTACCAGAACTAATCTCAACAACCTTAACCACATCCCCAACCCTAACCCCATGCGCACCTAACCTCAACTTCCCATCCCCACCACCACCACCACCACCATTACCACCCTTAGAAGCAGAATTAGTAGATGTAGAAGAAGTATTAGTAACAGCCGCATCGGCAACAAACTCCCCCACCACCCTCCCCCCCAGCCCCGTCCTACATTGCGAGAGAACAATACCCGTCAAGGCATGCCCTGTCGCTTGGAGTGTGCGCCGGGTGGATGGCGACGCGGTGGTGATGGCGCTGCTGGTGAAGAGGTTGTTGGAGGTTATTTCGGCGGTTTGTTCGGCGCGGAGGAGGGTGAGTTGGGTGGTTGCGAAGGTGGGGAGGGATATTTTGGGGGGCATTATGTGTATTTGGTGGGGTATGTGTGTGTGTATGTTGAGTGTAGGGGTGGAATTGGGATTGGAATTGGGGGAAATTGTATATAGTAGTTGGAGAATGTTGATAGCGCGGGGAAAATATTCATTTTAGTTGTGACTTGTGAGGGGTGACTTCTGACTTCATGCGGGTGCGGTGCGGTGCGGTGCTTAGTCATATCTATATATCTGTGTCTCACTGCATGCATGCATGCAGCATGATCACGAACCAACCCTACTTAGCTACTTCTGTGTATGAACACGACCGTATCTAAATCACTGGTGAAAGAGGGTGAAAATACGAGGCAGTCTCGTATCATCGTATGCTGCAGTTAATCTGCTATGGCCCCGTTTGGTGTCGATTAGTTATTATCTTCAGAAGTACAACACGGTGATTCTCTTTCTTCTCTTCTCTATTCTTCTCTCTCTTCACTGAGTTTACCTGCTGGGAGCTTACTTTTGGTGTTTACTGTTTGCTGGTTACTGGTTACTGTTTACTTACGTGCATCACTCTACTCTACTGTCTGTTTGCTGGTTAAGGATGATGAAGAGAGGACTATCTATCTGCATACTATTTCTAACTAGGTCACGTCGCTGGTGATGGATATCATGCATATGTGACAGGCAGACACGTCGACACTTGGCTATCTCAGGATGATCTTGAGAGTGGCTATCTGGATGAACGGCAGGCTGAGTTGGAATCATCTTGATGAAGACAGTCTCAACCATCCATCTCGGGGAGTCAATACCATGAGGTAAGTGTTCGTGTTCTGTGAAAGGAAAACACAAGAGAAGAGAAGAAAAGAGAAGAAAATAAATAAAAACACCACAGGCATCTATCTGCATCAAGCATCGCTATCTGCATTAAGAATCATGATCATAAGAGGTGAGTGTTCGTGTTCTGTGAAGAAAGACACATGAGAAAAGAAAAAGAAAGAAAAAGAACTAACAGCAGGATAAGCATCTATCACCTGCATAAGCATCGCTATCTGCATGGAGACGGGTTTTCGTGCTTTAACAAAGAAAAGACACAGGAGAAGAAAAAGTGGAGAAAGGAAAAGAAAAGCACACCACGCATCTATGTGCATCAACTCGCTATCTGCAACAACCATCAATCATCAACCATCAAACCACGAAGATTGTGTTCCCTGTTCTGCCAGAGAGGAAGATCTAAGACACGATAGGCATCGCGGCATCTCAAGGAGCCCATCGCCCCATGACAGCCATCACGGCCTGTCTCTCGAACCCGCGGTCATCTCGCAGATACACCCGGTACCCTCGCAGCCCTCTCATGTCGGTAAACGCCATAAGCAGCCGGCGCAAATATCTCTTGCGGTTGTCCATCGTATACATTGACGTGGCCCGGCCCTGGTCATGGATCTTCAGGGTTAGGCGCGCTAGATCAAAGTGCTCCCGGATGAAACGGCGCAGAACTGCCCAGTGCCGCAAGGTCGCGTCCGCGGAGCGGGCTCCCGTCTGCGGGGTGGCCCGAAAGCACAAGGGAAAGTGAAAAGTCAAATTCTGTACCAGAATCGTGGATTCCGTGGGAATGCCACTCAGAAAGCCCATGGTGTAGGTCGGATCCTCCTCCACGAACATAAACTTGTTGCGGCCCCAGAAGACCTGACGAGCGAGCTCATGGAACTCCCGACTAACCAGGAAATAGCGCAATGGCGAGGCGAAGCAGGTGCAGCCCGTCGAAAAGACCGTCTCGGTCTTATCACAGAAGCAAATGCCTCCAACCGGCGAGCAGGTGCCACAGCAAGATTTGAAGCGCAGACGGTCGCGGTAATCCAAGACGATAAGGCCCGGAACAGGATCGGCCATGCACGGATCGGAACGACAGATGAGCAGGTTCCCGAGCACCATCAGCTGAAGTTCCCGGGGCAGATACATGAACGGAAACGGCGGCACATCAAGATTGTCCGTCAGGCGGCGCGCCGTGCGCTTCATCGCAGGCAGGAAACTATAGATCTTATCCTGATCATTGCTGAAATAGAAGGCGCACTTGAACAAGCTGGGAAACGGATCCATATCACGCATCACACGAACAACCACTTCCTGCTCATAGGCTTTGCATTTGAGGCTGAAGTATCTGAGATTCGGCATGTCGATTGCCGCGAGCTTGCAGAACTCCGCCCACCATGTCAATAATGTTTGGTGGGAACCACCCGCCAGCTTGAGCGTTCGGTTGTCCTTATGACCGAGATCCACATGCAAGTACCGAATATGTTCCATGCCCCATTGCAATGAAGCCTCAAAATTTTTGTAGTCTGCCCGGCCGCGAAGAAACATGCTGAAGCGATTATGGGAGAAGAAATAGGCACCGGCCTCCCGGCGCAGGGTGTGACACGACAGGAACAACTGTGTCGGCAGCTTTGGATGGTAGCAGCGGCTGAGCGGAAGCCAAGGGCTGCGATGCGCTCGCAATTCGGTTCTATGACAATAAGGCGGGTCTCGCTTGATGCGGTCCCGCTCCAGGGTAAAGTCGATGATACAAGAACGACGCAGAGCAGCGAAGTCGAAGATTCTATTTCTGATATTTTCTGGCAAATCGAACAGTGTAGGGCCCTTCTTTGTGACCTCCATGCTGACAATGTGAGGAACAGACCTTCGGCAAGTCCCAGGTGGCGGTATGGTCGATTGAACGGTATCGAAAGCCAGTATTCAACTGTCGTCCTCGATGACACTGATTTCCATACAACCTGCACATAATTGGACCGAGTTAGTAGGTTCACCGTGTCACACAATTAACCTGATGGATGAACTTACGCTTAACAGCGCGAGTGAGAGCTTAACTCGAGCCGAGCTAGCTGTTAAGCACAGCGATGAAAGTCTTGACAACGTTATCGAAGATCAACGGAATACAACTTGATAATTTGACGGTAGAGATGTCTGGTTAACACAGGTAAACACACGGTCAACAGAGGAAGAAGGCTGGTCTGGCAAAACAGAGTGGTTGTGTTTCCCCACCAGACAATTGAAACAAAACATTAAGAGTGACTGACGAGTTGCCTGGGGCATTCAATCCCATGACTGGGTTCAACTTCTACTCCTGCTCGACCTTCACCTTTGGCCCCTCCTGCTTCACAGCAACGTCTCGCTTTGGTGTTACTAAACCCCTAATTTCGCTCTTACAGAGCTTGGTTCCTGCAAGATCGCATTCGCCGCATCTCCGAGCTACAGGTAAGCAGACCGTCTGTCCTAGGCCGACCAGCAGTTTGTTAATCTCGTGCCATTTATCTTTCGGTAGCCACGATTCCAGCGCCATGCGAGTTTCTTCGGGATTCTTTGTCTTGTGCCAGCCCCAAAGATTGGTAATGCGATGGACGTGAACATCAACGCCAATGCCTTCGTGCTTGCCCCACGCCGCGCTCATACACAGGAACGCCATCTTCGGACCGACGCCAGGGAGCTTCATCAGTTCAGGAGCAGTCGACGGGATATCAGAATCATATTGATCGCGAAGGATAATGGCTGCGGCCTTGATATACTTGGTTTTGTTGTTGTGGAAGCCCACCTTGGCAATGAGCTCGTTGAGTCGCTCAGGAGTGACGGCTAGGATGTTCTCCAGATTCAGAGTGCTGTCCTTGACCTGGTCTGTGGGTTTCCAGTCATACTCTTCAGGCTCTTTCTTCACAATGCTCGTCGACTGGTCTCCAAGCTCCGTGTGCAACCGCTGCATGGCCACCGCCGTGACTGTGTCTTTGGTTTGGGATGACAGCATCAGTGCAATGAGAGTCTGGAACCGGCGATCGCGCGGAGAGGATGCACGCCAGTAGAGTTCAGCACAGCCCATGGTGTCAACGGGTGCAGTGGGATTTGCCTCTCGCATCTTCTTGACCATGTCATACATAGTTTCCCAGTTGGAGGGGGGCTGCATGGAGTAGGCGCCATTCTCGGTTTTTATCTTGCGTGCGGGCGTCCGTCGTGCTTTTGACGGCTTCTCAGCGGGCTCTTTCTTGACAGGTACTTCTTCGACAGAAGTCTCTGCTTTGACAAGGGTCTCTTCTTTGATCGGAGTCTCTGTCTTGACAGCCCTCCGACTAGAGCGCGCATTCGCCCTGGTAGACGTCGCGCTCAACGCACTCTTGCGACGTTTGGCCGGCGGCTCCATGATATCCTCGATATCAACCGTCGGCACAGACGAGAGCGACGAAGTATCATCATCACTGACAGATACATCCGGGGCAGTAGCACCCCCAAAAGCAAAGCCCTGAAGGCGACTAGCAGCCTGAGCCGAACTGCGAGTTGTTCGTCGAGCAGGAGGCGACAAAGCCTGCAGCACCTTGGCAGTTTCTTTAGAAGCTTGAGAAGTGCGCATGTTGTAATAGCTCTATCTTAAAAATGTACTCCGTGCCGTATAAACAATTCTTCACATGAAATGAAACCATGTAGTAAATCCGAGATCGACTGAAATTAGGCTCAACAAGGGGCGAGCGACTCAGTGACGGCGGATTACACATGGGGGTTCGGAAGCCGAGACCGACCGGAAACCAATCAACCGACGGGTAGTCAAGACCCACGGCTGGCATTGAGCCTCGGCGCGACACGAGCAAGCACCGCACCGCACCCGCACCAGCCACCGCGACATCCACCATCCACCTTATCTATCTCCAGTCATTCAACCAACTATCAATCACTCCTATCAATTCACCCCTCCTCCACATACCAACCTACACACATACATACAACCTAATACCCTCTCTCTTAAAGGGTATAAAAAGAAAATGGCCTCCTCACAAACAACGCACCGCCTCCTCCGCGAACTAAAAGACTACACGAACTCTCCCAACGAAGCCCTCCTACACCTTGGTCCCGTCGACGAAGACGACCTCCTCCACTGGGAAGCAGTATTAAAAGGTGTTCCGGGGACGCCTTACGAGAGTATGCCTATCCCCTCCCCATTCCCACATTCCTCTTTACTTTACAACACCCCCACTAACATCTCTCCCCCTCCCCATGGGGAATAAATAAATAGATGGCCTCTGGACCCTCTCCATCCAAATCCCCCCAACCTACCCCCTCACACCACCGAAAATCACCTTCAAGACGAAAATCAGCCATCCGAACATCAGCTTCACGACGGGCGAGATCTGTCTGACGTTGTTGACCACGGAGCATTGGAGTCCTGTGTATACGCTGAGTAGTACGTTGAGTGCGATTCATCAGTTGTTGACGGATCCGAGACCCGATTCGCCGCTTAATGTCGATGTGGCGGCGTTGTTGAGGGATGGGGATGTGGCTGCTTGGGAGAGTTTGGTGAGGTTTTGGACCGAGGAGGAGAGGGCTACTTTATAATTATAATTTATTGCGGAGCGCGGTAGTGTGGAGGGATTGGGGTGTGAAGGGTGGGATATATATATATATACGATGAGTTGGGGTGGTAGTGGATTATGTGTTGATAACTGTAGTTAAATACCCAGGAGTACGATGTGATACGATTATTCAGGTTCAGTTCAGTTTCAATTGTTGCAGTTGGTTCAGTTGGTTCAGTTGGTTGTAAATACACCAGTCGCAGTGACAATTCTAATATGCACACGCTGGAAACATACTATAGGGGCCTGAAGGGCCGCGTAGTGAGGATAGTAGTACATTTAATAATATTTAATAATAATATATTACTATCATTCATTATTATTACCTGTAATTACTTATTCTTATTTATTATTATTGTATAGTTTAGTAACAGTTATATATAGTAATAATCAGTTATTTATATATTATAAAAAAATTATTTATTATTATTCTTAGATAAATTTTATTTTAAATTAATAAATCTTATTTAAACCAGGTAATTATACCCTATTATTATAAAATTATATACTGTTTAATAACACTTATTAAATTCTATTAATAGAATAAATAATTCTTTATTTAATATTTTATATATTAATAATATCTGTTATTTACAATCAGAAAAGATATTATAAAATTAAATAATATATATAAATTATAAATATTCCTGATCTACTGATTATATTATTTATATAATAATATATTCTTATAATTAAGAATTTTAAAAGTTATATAAAATTATATTAAGAATAATAAAGAATTAAATTATAATAATTATATAAAATTAATATTCTATAAACAGTATACTAAATCTAATTTATTATTATTAATTAATAATTATTTAAAATTATTATATATATTTATTATAAATACCTGTTCAATCTTATTTTATAATCTTAATAATAATTAATTTTCTGAAAAATAATAATAAAAGAATATTATTATCTAATCTAAATTATTAGATTCTCAATATTATATTAAAAAAAATAAGAAAATTTATAATTAAAAATGATACTTTATACCACAGTTAAAATATATTAATAAAAATTTATATTTAATAAAGCTTCCAGCAGTGATTGTTTATAAATAATTATAAATAAAAAAATAATTAATATAATATTAATATAGAAGATTATTATAAAAAACTTTTATAATAATCTTATAAAATAACTAGAGATTTACCGGGAATAGAACTTAATATAATAATAATAAAATAAATTAGACTTATTATACTGAATAGATACTGAGATAAAATACTTCTTTTAATAAATAAAAAATAATATATTTAATATATTCTACTCAGAAAAAGAACAATAATAAAATTTAATAAAATATATTATTAAGATCTGTATATTAATATTAAATTTATTTATAAAAATATATTTTTAAATAAGACGCGGGCAGGATTTATATAATTTTTAAATTATTTAAAATAAAATTAAATAATTATTTTATCAGGAACCGGCAAGGCCCAAGTATATAAAATAATAAAATTAATTTAATTAAAAAAGATAAATTATAAGCTAAAACAGTAAAATATAATTAATCTATTTCTTAAATACTCTTATAAAAAATATTAATAATTAATTATATATATTTAAATAAATATTTACTTATACTTTAGTTTACCTGCTAGAATATTATAATTTATAAATAAATTATATTTAATAATAAATATATAAAAATAAAAACTAGTATAAATAATAAATATTTTAAAATATTTTATTTATTTATTATTTTTTATTATTATACTAAGATTATGCAGTAATTTTCTTACTGTATATAAGTAAATTAATAAATTAAATTTACTAAAAAAAAAAGTTAAATTATATAAAATATTATAGATTTTAAAGATATATAGCTAGAAATCAGTTAATCTTAAAATAATAATTATTAAATACTGGAAAATATAATAGCTGTAAAATATTTAAATATATATATTATTAAAAGATATTACTCAGCTAGTTAAAATAAATATAATAATAAATATAATTTTTATACAGGCACGGATCAGCCACTAAAGAAATAAAAATAAATTTATAATAAAAAAAAGAAATAATATTAGTAATTAAATTTATAATAAGAATTTTATATAGAACCAGGCTGTAGTTATATAATATTAAAAAATAATAAATAAAATAATAATTTTCTGATTAAACTCTGATAATATCTAGATTTTTAAATATTTTAAAAAGAAAAATCAAGATTAATAAGTAGATTAAATTATTCTTTATAAAACTGTATTAAAATTAATAATATTAAAAAATAAAAAAATCTTTTAAATATATTCTAGAAGATAATAATTAATTTTTTTTTAATTAAAATAAAATATATTATATAGACAGTCCAGAATAATATTAAAAATTAGAATAATTTATTTAATTAATAAGAATATAAACTATATTTTCTTAATATTAAAATATTTTTACTATTCAGGAATAGTTATTTAATAATTATTCTTAATTTAATAATATTAATACTGAAAATAATACTAGTTATAAAAGACTATATTATATTCTGGATTAATCTTTTTTTTTAGAGATAATAATAAGTCTGATATTTTATATTAATATTATAATTAAATATACTACTATTTTTAACTTACTATAATATATCTCTAGTAAGTACTATGATAAATACAGTAATAATTACTTATTCTTTATAAAGAATACTGTAAAAGTCTTTTATAATAATCTTAAAATTAATATTAATATTAGCTAGAATATCCTGAAATAAAATATTATAAGAATTTAATATTATAGTAAAAGAATTAACTAGATATTTTTATTTTTAATAAAATAAGCTAGCTGGTATTAGATAAATCTTTTTTAAAGCTTTAAATATATTATAATAAATTTTAAAATTATTAATAAAAAAAAAAAAAAAAAGACTTTATTTATAGCTAGCAGAATAATTATATAAAATAATTATATTTAAATATCTTAAGCTTAAATTTTATTTAAAATAAATATATAAAAATATATAATCATACCTGTCTAGTATAGAAAATTAAAATATAATAAATAAAAATAATATTATCAGATAGTATAATTAGAGAATTTATATAAATAAACTGGAAATTAATATAGTTATTAATTAATATAAAAAAAATTTTAAGTACTGTATTCTCTACTAATTAATACTTATTATTAATATAAGAATCTGTAAGTTTAAAAAAATATTTATATTTATTTTAAATTTTAATAAATTAATATAATTTAAGAACAGACTAGACAGTATAAATAATTTAATTATATATTTATAAATAAAATTAGATATTCTTACTAATAAATATTATTTTATTATATTAAAATAATATATTAGAGTACTGTTATAACTAGAAGATAAATTAAATAAAATTATTTAAAAAAAAGATATTTCTAGAATCTAGATAGAAGATATACTGGCTGGATATAATAATAAAAAATAAGTTTTATATATAATAATATTATAGCTTAACAGGATAATTAGAATATTTTATTATTTTAAAATATAATTTAGATAATTCCAGATTAGATAATAGAATAGAAGAGAAAAGATATAATAAATTATAAATATATTATATAAATATTTTTTATTTTAAGAAATTCTTTATAATTAATAAAACTGAACTCTAAATCTTAGAATTAATTAAAATAAAATATATTTTTATTAATAATATAAGCAGAAGATCTTATATATATTTTTTTAAAATATTTAATTTTTTAAAAATAAACTTAAGTTTTTTAAGTAATATAGCCAAGACTAATATCTTATATAATATTATATAATTATTCTGAAAGATTAGAGTAGTAGAAATTTATAATTTAAATATAATAATAAATTTAGAAAACTAGTCTTAAGAATAATTAATATTAAATCTAGAATATTTTATAAAAGATTTCTACTAATTATTCTTATTTTTATAAAAAAAAATTTTCTAAGAAGATATAATCAGGAGATCTTCTAGATTATTAAAAAAAAAAATATTTTTATAAATTATATTAAAAAAAAATATATTATTTTTAATAAAATCAGTATTATTATTTATACTAGTATTATTATTAATATTACTATTAGAACTGGTAATATTATTAATATTTATATTAGTATTATTATTAAAACTAATAATATTATTAATATCTATATTAGTATTACTATTAGTATTATTACTGGAATTAATATTATTATTAATATTTATATCAGTATTATTATTATTATTATTATTAATATTTATCTCTATATTACTATCCAAATCAGTATTAATAATATATTTAATATAAGTATTAAAATTAATATAAAAATTACTTATATCAGGATTACTAGCCACTGCTGGTTTAGCTATTATTAAAATTAATATTAATATATTTTAGTTAAGCAGGTTTTATTTATATAAAAATATTATCTAGATATCTGGCAGGGAGAGGACTTATATTATATTTTAATTTTTAATAATTAATTTTTTAAAAATAAAATATAATAAATATTATTAATTAGTACAGACTGGTTGAATGAAATAAAATATAATTTAAATTAAATAATAAAGAATAAAGAAAAATAAAAACTAATTTATAAAAAATATAGTTAGAAATAGAAATTCTGGGCAGTCTTTATAGATTTTATAAATTATAATAAAAATTTAATAATATTTAAAATTATATTATTAATAAACAATACTTTCTAGAATTTAGATATATTTTTATTATTAAAGATTTATATATATAACCACCATAGTAACTAAAAATATTAATATTAAAGATATTAATTATAGAAAAATAGGTATTATATATATTAATAATTTATAAATTAATATTATTATAAGGATTACTAAGAATTTATTATATTTATATTTATTTAAAATAAATATATATATATTATAGATCATATAAATAAGGGGGTAGTAAATAGAATACTATTATTAAATAATATTAATACTAGTAATTAACTATAGTAAGTAATAAATATATATTTAAGATTATTACAGTATTATAATAGTAGTATTAATATTATATATTTAAATATTATTATTACTTAGTAATCAGTACTACTGTAATTATAATATAATTTTAATTTTTATTACTAGTATTTAGTTACTAGTTTTCTAAT